TAACCACTTTCGTTTCCATATAACTATAAACTATGATAAAAGTTCATCAGCATGCATTGAATAATCCCATGTTGTAGCGCAAAAAAAAAAAATGTAAACGTTTGTGCGACCAGCTGAGAAAGTTAGTTGCAAAAGAGCGACCAGTGGGAAGAATCACTTATGAACTTTAATATGCATTATACAGAGGCAAGAGGAAAATAAAAAATACCATAGAAAGACAGTAAGTTCCCCTCAGACATACATTCATATAAACTCCTACCCCTAACCGAATCGCGATTTGTTTAGTATCTCAACCGATTTGAATCGTCACATATTTAAATCGATTTTCAACCGGCTGGCGGTTTATCGTTACATCCCTACTAAATAGTAATCGTAATTATAAATTAATATTAATTGAATAATAATAATGGCAATTATAATAGTAATAGTAGTAGTAATAATGATTAAATTATAAAACGAATAAACGAAAAGAAGTATTAAATTTAATGATTATTAACATTATTTAAAATATGATTTAAATAATTTGTGGATACTGTACTTGTGAACACTAAACTCCTGAAATAATAATATACTAATAAGTGCACATTTCTTTATGCATTTCTTTTCTTCATTGTAGTGTTTTAGTGCATTGTTACAGAAGGAGCATATTCACAATGTCCCCTACACTCTAATATTAGTTAATTAACTCTCAAAGTGCTTCAGTTTATCAGTGTTGATTCACTGTTCAGTTTCATCTCACACGTCAAGCGGGTCAGTCTCAGATTACTGACTGTTGGACGGTTTTATTTTTAAAGATCATATCTTTCAAGATTTTTCTTGTTCAAAAACATTTATAGTGTATTGTATATCTTGCATTGTTATTTTTTTTCATCATATCTGTCATCAGTATGTTTAGTTGAAATAGTTTACTACATGATGTTTTTTTTTTTGATTGGCAGCTAGCAAGGATGAAGTAATTTAGAAAACAAAATTGTGTGAATGTAAATTTAGGTCTATCACAGTACCTGAGGATGCGTTACACTGAATTAGACAGCAGGTGCCGCTGCTGTGCCATTGGATGGATAACAACCATAATCAAACTTTTCCATTCATCCATTTCACTGCATAAACATATGCCAAAACCAAAAAAAGGTCTCTTTTTGCTGCAGCAGACAAGCTGTTAAAGAAACACAGTAACATCTGCCTTAAAAAGAGTAACAAAGCTTCTGAATAACTATAGCAATTTATTACTTTTATTGATAACCAGTTTCCACCATAAAAACTACTTGTGCTGTTACCTCTTAGTGTTTTTAAAGTCATATTCAGATGGGTCTTGACACTGATATCTGTTTATTACAGGAGGTTTTTTTTCATATGTTGTTCATCTGGGTGACTCTTATCTCTGTATGCCAGTCTGAGCCAGCATATGGACAGCCTGCACTGGCATTTGGGGAGGTTTGAACCTCTCAATTGTGATTTTAATATTTTCAATTCAATTCAAGTTTATTTGTACAGCGCTTTTCACGATACAAATCATTGCAAAGCAACTTTACAGCAAATTAAGTTTCTACAATATTTAGTGGTAGCTTATCAGTGGTGACTGTCAGTCAATGTACATATGGCAGAAATGTACGGAAAAATCAATTAAGGGGCAACATGTATATCGAAAATAGCAGAGGACCTAGGACAGATCCTTGTGGCACTCCATATTTTACTGGTGATAATTGAGATGACTCCCCATTTATCTACTGGAGATATGAGAAAGAGTGGTGCTTTTTCTTTGGCAGGGATTTTTGGCACCAGGTTACAAAAAGTATGGGTAAATTTGAAGCTGCACAGCAACCCAAGCCAGTTTATCCTTTGATAAGCTCCTCCCCTCTTGGTTAATGTTGCTAATGGAGACAAACTTTACAGAATTTTTCAAAGAAAATGTGATTTTAAGTAATATAAAGAGGTTAAAATGAACTGGATATTATTGTTTAGGTAGGCTGGAAGGAATAAGGACATTTTACAGCATTTTCATCAGCCATTTTTCTTTTAAAGAAATTGTTAAATTACATGATAACGTGATTTAAAAACTGCACAGATTGCAGTTCAGAATCAAAGCAAACACTTTGTTGGAAAAAAGCTTCTTTTGAAAAGAATTACATCTGATAACATTAGCGTTAAGTGAACAGAACAGTTCTACAACATGCTCACCGGCACTATGAACTCTGCTTTGACCCTAATCAATAAGTAAATGAATTAACGTTAACTTAGTCAGCTTAATTTACCTTGGAGCAAATGTTGGTGTTCTTACTGAATGTTACTTGTTCATTTGGGAATGAAGGCTGACATATGACAGCATGCACCTGTTAGGGTTTATTTAAAGATTTGTAAGAGGAAAAACAGTTTTTATCCTCTGCGGCTGATCCGTTAACAACATTTAACACATTTTTGCATAAATTCTGAATAATTCAGTTTAAAGGAACCAACACAGGACTTCCATGTACTTAAGAAAAGAGCAAAGGCTTGCCTGATACTATTGCAGATGGCATCAGCTGCTAACATAATATTGATCAGTAACTTTTTTTTTTTGAGGCTGAGTTTTTCTTTCATGACACAAAATGTATACTCTGTTCGCTATTTAAACAGTTTTTGCTCTTAAAGGGATACTCCACCCCAAAATGAAAATTTTGTCATTAATCACTTACCCCCATGTCGTTCCAAACCCGTAAAAGCTTTGTTCGTCTTCGGAACACAATGTAAGATATTTTGGATGAAAACCGGGAGGCTTGTGACTGTCCCATTGCCTGCCAAGTAAACTACACTGTCAAGGTCCAGAAAAGTATGAAAGACATAGTCAGAATAGTCCATCTGCCATCAGTGGTTCAACCGTAATGTTATGAACGTTCATTTTGGGGTGGAGTATCCCTTTAAAGGGACAGTTCACCCAAAAATAAAAATTATGTCATTAATTACTCATGAAGTTCCAAACCCATAAGACCTTCGTTCATCTTCGGAACACAAATAAATTTTTTTTTGATGAAATCCGAGAGCTTTCTGACCCTGCATAGACAGCAATGGAACTACCACGTTCAAGGCCCAGAAAGGTAGTAAGGACATCGTTAAAATAGTCCATGTGACATCAGTGGTTCAACCGTAGTGTTATGAAGCTACGAGAATACTTTTTGTGCGCAAGGAACACAAAAATAACAACTTTATTTCTTCTCTTCTGTGTCCGTCTTCGACGTTCACAACAGTACCACGATGCATGCGTGTGCATTCCTCTGCTTGTAAACAAGGCTCAGTGCATGCGCGCTCTGTCAGAACACCGGCTCCTGCGTCAGCAGCACCACACGCATGCGTCATGGTACTCTCGTGAATACGTGTCGCAGACTGACATGGAAGAGAAGACATTGTTGAATAAAGTTATTTTTGTTTTCTTTGCACACAAAAAAGTATTCTTGTAGCTTCATAACATTACGGTTGAACCACTGATGTCACATGGACTATTTTAACGATGTCCTTTACTACCTTTCTGGGCCTGGGAACGTTTCGGTTGCATTGATTTCTATGGAGGGTCATACAGCTCTCGGATTTCATCAAAAGTATCTTAATTTGTGTTCTGAAGATGAACGAAAGCCTTACCGGTTTGGAACGACATGAGGATGAGTAATTAATGACAGAATTTTCATTTTTGGGTGAACTATCCCTATTGAACTCGTATCACATGTAAATGTAAGTAGAATTCTCAGTCTGATTTTAGCAAGACATTTATACAAGCCGAAAACTCAAGCCAAACTGACAGTTAGCTCAACATCAAAAGAGTTACTTCTTGACAAGTGCTTTTTGCTGCATCTTTGATCAAATGCCAATGAGGACACATGCGTATGTCTAGCATTTTGGATAAAAATATCTGACAAATGCATAAATGGAAATGGAAACCCGCAGTTGTCCTCTGTTGTGTTCTTCATCTTTATTGGTATTGAATGTGCTGCTCCAATGTGTTTATATCTGACGTTCTGAAGCATTTGTGAGTGACAGTTGAGGGCTGTATATGAAGAGAGCGCATTATTGACTGACTATTGACATGTGCCTGTGCCGATGATCTGACCTCATGAGAGAGAGTCATT